TAAATCTTTAAAAAAAAGTAAATAATTAAAATTGATTCAGAGGACACAAGAGCAGATCCATAGTATGATTAAAAAAAAAACCTGGCTATCTTATTTGAAAAGTATTTACTTACCACAGTCATTATTGAACATCTATGTGAGCAATGTGAACAGTGCCCAAAACATCTAGTATGGACTCGAGGACATGTTTGTTTTTTGTTTTTTTTTATAGAGGCATGCTTTATTTATTTGTTTGCTGGTTTGTTTGTTTGTTTTGTTTATACATGCACTGGGTACAGTCAGAAGCGCGGGAGGGTGAGAGAATTCACCAGAGCCAGAGCGGGGAGCAGAGCAGGCAGAAGGACCGAAGTACACTGCTGAGGGGAGCAGCGGGCGGCAGGAGAGGTCTGCACGCCATGTGGGACCCTCCTCCGGTGGCCGGGGAGCAGCCAGGGATCGAACCGGCCGTGGGCAGCTTCGCAACCCAGCGCTCAACCGCTGCACCACCGGGGAGGCCCTCGAGGACATGTTTTAATGGCAGTTTTAAGGAAGGACTTCTATTTTTTACCTTCTACAACTCACATTTACATTTAAAAAAGAGAGAGAGAGAGAATGCATTAACTTGTACAATGATAATGATGCCAAAACAATGGAAAAAAGAATATATAAAGAGTGTAAAAAGAGACTAAACCTTCCACTATAAACTCTGGATTGTAGACAGAACTCAGTGTTATGGGGCCTCCCTGATGGCCCAGGGGTTAAGACTTAGGCTCTCACTGCTGTGGCCTGAGTTCCATCCCAGCCAGGGAGGGAGGTGATCCACACGGTGCAGCAGACCTCTCCCATCTCGCCCGCTGCTCCCCTCAGCAGTGTATTTCACTCAGTCTGCCTGTTCTGTTCCCCACTCTGTCTCGGGAATCCTCTCACTCCCCGAACCTCTGGCCTGTACCCCAGTTCTGTGCATAAATAATAAACAAACAAATAAATAAATCTTCAAAAAAAACCCTCAGTGATTTGATATATAATTTCCTGCCTAAAGAATCTACTACTGAGCACCTACTTACCTGGGAGCAGGTGCTATGAGAATCAAGTCAATTATCACTTATCAGTAGGACCAAAAGGAGATACGATTTTTCATAAAATTAAAATTGAACTCATAGAGAATTTAGTTCTCAAACTGTTGTGATGGACAGATAACGCATATATCAGAAAATCCAACATCAGCTATTGAATGGGTGGGTTTATTTCACTCCTATGCACTGTCCCTGGACTGCAGACAAAGTTGGCAAGAAATTACAAAAGAAAGACAGCAAAATATCACTAAATTAAGCAAAAGGTATGTTGTTATTTTTTCATGGAGCCATTTAGGCAGCAAAGGAAAGGAAAACTTAAAACACACACACACACACACTCACTCCCCCAAATTAAATGCTGCTCAAAAGACAACCAGGTGCCCCTTGAACGCAGGGCATTTTGAAGGGAGTTGGGTTGTCTGACTGGGAGTCCACAGCGGCTTGGCTCCAGCACTGCTTTCCGCCTGGGCAAAAGACACTGGCAAAGCAGGTGGGAAAATTCACCTCTTTCCTTTCTTAATGGGAAATTCACCTAAGGCCTTCGCCTTTAAGTGTATGTTACAGACACCAAAAACATCAATTAATTCAAACTTGTCCATCTTGGGGAGCTGAGAACAGAAACTACACCTCTACCGCCCATGTTCTTCATCACCAAATTAGCTACTAACTGATTAGCACACCAATTAAAATTACTAAAAACAAACACAAAACCAACAGTTGTGATTTTTATAGCAGACCCTAGAGGCTAATGAGCTCAGTGGGTTAATCAGCTAGAAAACTTATTCCAAACAGCAACGCTGCCACATTAGAATGACACACTGCTGCTCCCTGAAAACCATGTCTTTAAAAAAAAAAAAAAATCAATGATAAACATCTCCTTGACAGTATAACAGTTTCTTGGGAAAAATACAGGGTTATTTTTTTCTTGAGACTTAAGAATTACAGGCATGTTAAGTTGCTGAGCCTTTGATTTCCGTTTAAGTCCCATCCACTGCCCTGTGGCTTTCGAGTCCTCTCGAGCCCCCAGGGTGGTGTCTTCCACCCCTCAGCTGCAGGTAATTACTTTTTTCTCACAAAACTCTCTATACTTTCGGCTTCTGCTGTTACCTAGTTGTCCTTTTATGCCTCTTTGGGTGATCATTAGGTCTCCTTGAAGAATTTTCTTTTTGCTTTTTAACCTAGTAACAACAATGCAAATGTATTGTGTATAGTAATATTTATTGAATAAAGAATTAATCCCAAGACTCAGGCCTTCATCATGATATACTTGCCCTTCTGCACTCTCTCAAGCTTCAACTACGAGATCTGCATAGAGCATATGTAAGTTACACCAAGAAATAACTCGCCAATAAAGACCTGCACATGCCATTGAACTCACCTCGCGTTTTGCAGAAGAAAGAAACACATTAGTGAGAAGGACTGCATTGCTGGCATCAATCCTGCACCCCTTCCTGAATCCAAGCCTGTGACATGCTCTGTCACTTGGTCTGCTGTCCCACTAAAGGAATAGAGCCTATTTCCCTACCCTTTGACATCTGAATTGAGTCACATGACTTGCTTTACCCAAAAGAATGGGCTGAAGTGATAGGAAGTCAGTCCCTCGCTTAGAAACCTGAAAAGGCCTCTTGAGTTTATTCTTGCTCTTTTATATGTCTGCCATCTCCACAAGAACATGCCCTGATAGGGGCCTCCCTGGTGGCACAAGAGGTTAAGACACAACCTATGAAGCTAACCGCAGCCACTGCAGCAAGAGTTCAATCCCCAGCCAAGGAGCTGCCCACCTGGTGCAGCAGACCTCTCCTGACTCGCCCGCTGCTTCCCTCAGCAGTGTATTTCAGTCAGTTTGCCTATTCTGTTCCCCACTCTGTCTCTGTTGGGTCCTCTCACCCACTGCGCCTCAGGCCTGTACCCCAGTTCTTGTATGCATAAATAAATAAATCTTAAAAAAAAAAAAAGAACATGCCCTGATAGGCCACTGGTCTAGGGATGATTAGAAACAGGTACAACAGAGCCTACGGGCCGGCAGGAAGGGGTAGATCTTCTCAGCCAAGCCCAGCCTAGATCAGCTAACCCCCAACTGGTCAGAGATATGAGTGATAATAAATGATTAGTGTTAAGATACTGAGTGTTGGGGTAGTTTGCTATGTAGCAATAACTAATGGATGGAATGGGCCTACTCACGCTTTAGATGTGAGAAATTAGCACAGATCACCATGTTATTACTGAGTAATCCAACAGATAAGGTGATGGTGATAACATTAAAATGATAAGAGCTAACACGTCTTTGAACAACTTACATGTGCCAAGCACTTTCAAGGTCTTGACTCATTTAATCTTAGTATTATTAGGCCCCTTTCTATAAATAAACTTAGAACAGTTTTAGAAACAAAATTACCTAGAGATAGCACAGCGTTTTCAAATACGGCACACCTTGTTGTCCTTATTAACATTTTACATTAGTATGTTCTATTTGTCACAATTAATGAACCAATACTGATATTTTATTATCAACTAAGGTCTACAATTTACTCAAATTCTCTTAGTTTTTCCCTAATGTCCTTTTTAATTCCAGGATCCCATCTACCACATTGCATATCATCATCCTATCTCTTTGGCCTCTTCTCCACCCTTACTCAATTATACACACAAAAATATGAATTTGGGTAACTGTTTTATTGGGATCTATTCACATAGCACAAAATTCACTCTTTTAAAGTATGTAATTCAATAGTTCCTACTTGCAGAGTAGTGTAACTACCACCATAGTCCATTTTAGAAAGTTTTCATCATACTAAAGAAAAACTCTGTACCCTTTAGCCCAACCCCTCCCCAGCACTAGGCAACTACTATTCTACATTCTGTATCTATAAATTGACCTATGCTGGACATACCATATGAGGAAACCATATACTATTGACCTTTTGTACTGGTTTCTTTTACTGATGCTTTTAAGGTCTGTCTATGCTTTAGCGTATTTTAGTAAGTCATTACTTTTTATGTATGTTGTATGCATATGCCACATCTTGTTTACCCATTCATCAGGTGACAGATATTTGTGCTGTTCCAACCTCTGGGCTATTAAGAACAAAGCTACTATGAACTATTATGTGCAAGTTTTTGTGGGGATATAAGTTTTCATTTTTCTTACTTACATAATAAGGAATGAAGTTGCTGGGTCAAGGGATAACTCTTTTATCTTTTCAAGGAAATGCCAAACTACTTTGCAAAGGAGCCGTATCATTTTACATTCCTATTTAGCCCCCTTTTTACAGATAAGGTCATGAAGCCCAGAGGGATTAAGTAATTTGCCAAAGTTCACATAGCTGAGAAGCGGGGGACTGAGAGGTATACCCAGACAATGCACCTCAGGGCCAGAGCTCTTGATGACTGTACTACCCAGCTACATTCTTACGGTCTCACCATGTATGCTTCTCACACTATTACAGAGGGTGCCTAATTCTCTACACCCCTTTTCATGAGGCCCCACTCTAGTTTTGAAATCCATGAATTAATGGAGATGTGGAAAAAAACAGAGTCACAGAAGGGAAACAGAAGATTGCAAAAAAGTGTTTGATGAAGAAACATTAAATACCCTAGATTTTTTTAGCTTAATGAGAGGGCAGAAGTGTCTCTGATAGTAGTCAAGTATACAGAAGGCTGATTGATGCAATGCAAACTCACGTATGAGTCATTCCTTACTTCCTTGATTTACAGGAACTGGGGTTTACTCTATAGGAAGATAAGTAAATATAAAGATTTCATCATTATGAGACACAAACTTTATACACACATTTTGGGAACCATCCAAAAAAATTATTTCCATAGCTTATATTGAGTCCTAGTTAGGAGGCAGGAAGATGGACACAATGACCAGCAGGCCTGTGGCTCTATGACATGATATAATCTTTAGCAGACAGACCTATAGTTCCTTAGCTGGAACTAACTTACCCTGAATCGCAGATAGATATACAAAGGCGTCTTCATGCTCCAAGTTCTCCAAGAATATCTAGAACCACAAAATACAGCAGTGATATGAGTCACACAGAGCAAGCATTATTTGTCTTGGTTAGTCATTGGTCAGACTTTAGATCTCATGGGGGTAAAACAGTACATAGGTTTGAGTCCTGTTTTTGTAATATTTTTAAAAGGACTGTCCTGAGGGGTAGATACTTCTTCAATAGCTAAGTACATACCAAAAGGAGGCATGAGAAATCAGAATCTGGGAGAGCAATCCTCCACAATTCCACTACGGCCTATAATGGATGGCGCCGTCTCATGGGACATGACAGATGTCAGGTTGTGACACCAGAGGATGGTTTTGGTTGGTTATGTGAGGTTGATGGCACAGTTGGGCACAGTTGTTGTAATTTGATCCTTTTCTCTTGCACTCAGAAAGAACATGGAAGGGCCCCCTGGAAGGGGTTAAGCGTCAGCACTATGAAACTATCTGCAGTCTCTGCAGCACGAGTTTGATCCCTGGCCAGGGAGGTGACCCACATGGCACAGCAGACCTCTCCTGTCTTGCCCGCTGCTCCCCTCAGCAATGTATTTCAGTCAATCCGCCTGTTCTGCCCCCCACTCTGTCTCTGGTGAATCCTCTCACCCCCCTGCACCTCTGGCCTACACCCCAGCTCTTAAATGTATAAGTAAATAATTTAAAAAAAAAATATGGAAGTGGGCCTCCCTGGTGGCACAGTGGGTTAAGCACAGCACTGTAGGCTGTCCACAGCCTCTGCAGCACCAGTTCAATTCCTGGCCAGCCAGGGAGATACCCACATGGTGCGGTGCACCTCTCCTGTCGTGCTCGCTGCTCCCCTCAGCAGTGTATTTCGGTCTGTTTGCCTGCTCTGCTCCCTACGCTGTCTCTGGTGAATCCTCTCACCCTCCCACGCCTCTGGCCTGTGCCCCAGTTCTTGTATAAAAATAAATAAATCTTTAAAAAAATATGGAAGAAAGAATGTGAAAGTCCATGTGAGAGACACAGTGGGTCTTGTCATTAATCTCTCTACTGTTGTTTTATTTCTAAATAAACTTTCTTTTTTTTTAAAGATTTATTTACTTATATAAGAACCAGAGTACAGGCTAAATGTGCGGGAGGATGAGAGGATTCACCAGAGACAGAGTGGGAAACAGAACAGGCAGACTGACGAAATACACTGCTGAGGGGAGCAGTGGGCAAGACAGGAGAGGTCTGCAGCACCATGTGGGTTGCTCCATGGCTGGCGGGGATCAAACCGGCACTGCAGAGGCTGCGGACAGCTTCACAGCGCTGCACTCACCCACCTGCGCCACCAGGGAGGCCCTGAATAAACTTTCTTACTTGTTAGAATAACTGACTGTTTTTGTTTGAGGTTAACTAAGGGAGGGAACCTGGCTCAATAAGCAGAAATTATTATTTACTTACTAGTTTTAAAACTTTAGTTACTAAAAATAATTTTTTTCAATCAGAATTACAATTCTTAGTCTAATGGTCAAAGTATGTGGAAGAGACAATAGTAATAATAATAGCAGCTAGTTTTATTGCATCCTCATATGTTTATCACTATAATTAGTGCTTTATATGAATCATTTTATTTCAAATCTTTCAACGTAAAGTGGGTCCTATTATTATCCTCACTATACCAATGTAGAAATTGAGGCACAGACAATATAAGGGACTTGTCCAGGACTTAGCTTTTTTTTTTTTTTTAAAGATTTATTTATTTATGCTTACAAGAACTGGGGTACAGGCCAGAGGTGTGGGAGGTGAGAGGATTCACCAGAGACCTAGTAGGGAATAGAACAGGCAGATCGAATGAAATACACTGCTGAGGGGAGCAGCGGGAGAGTGAGGAGAGGTCTGCTGTGCCATGTGGGTTGCTCCCTGGCCGGAGATCGCGTTCGTGTTGCAGTGGCTGAGGATAGCTTCATAGGTTGCGTCTTAAACCCTTGTGCCACTGGGGAGGCCCGACTTGTCCAGGACTTTGATCTGGTATTTGGTCAGTAATCTCTATACCACTTAGCTCTTAATTTTCTAACCCACAGTGAAATCAGGACATTCTCCACAAAGGGAAAAGATCCCAAAAAGCATATATTTTCTCCCATACAAGTCTACAACATAAAGAACAGCTTTCACACAGTGATGGAAGGACAAGAGGAGAGGAGACCCAATTCTGTCAAACGACCCTCGAGAAGGAAGAGAAAACAGAACACCTCTCCGCGCTGGGTCACAGTGTTGAAAGTGGATCTATTTTATACCACAAAGAGGATGTTCCCATCTCTGGAAACTTGTTCATGCTGTTCCGTCTCCTGTTCCTTATTCGGCTGCTCAAACCTGATGAGTTTGTGAAGGTCATGTCCAGATCTACTTCGGATTTCAACTCTCTCCCTTTCCTGACTGTCCATAGCATTTTTTCCTGTAACTGGTACTCTCTCTGGTCTCTTCTTGTTCCACTGAGTAGTCTTATGTGCTTTTATCTAAGACTTTCCTAACTCGACATCTTGTCGCCTCAGAACACCGACCATTTTCCTGAGAGTAACCCAGGTCAGCTTGCTACACAGTCCAGACCCCCAGAAAGCTGGACTCCCACCTGCATGCATGTATTCTGTAGCGTGTTCTACTCACCTGGAGAAGTTTCTCTTGCATCTCAAGGGCTGTTGCTTCTCTCTGCTCTATCCAACGGGAAAGAGTTCGCAGGGCAGCAGCCCGTGTAGGAATTTGAGGATCATAAGCTGCTAAAAGAACCGCCTGGAGCTCCATTGTGGTTGCGCTCCCAGGCTTCTGATTTGTGGTAGGGTTGGCTTCATTGGCTTCCTGAGGAATGTGTGCAGCATCAGCCTTCAGGCCTGCTCGGTTGCATTTCTCCCGGCTTTGCTCTTGTTCGAGGTGGTCAGGAGACGCATCAGCATATTTCTCACAACTGCTTTGTTGCTGTTCTATTTTGCTTCCTGGATCCTTTTTGTTCAGGGTACTGTGGGCAGCCACACTCACAGCCTCGGTGGAGAAGGCCCCATGGGTGGAGATGGTGATGCGGAGATCAGCAGCGAGTTCTTGGATGACAGGGTCAGGGTACGTGTCAGAGACCTTCTCCAGCAGAGGCAGCAACTGCTTCAGAACAGCAAAATCACTTGACTTCAGCTACAAAATAAAATGGAGAGTGTCACATTCACATGAACACAGCAGATGTTATGACCTGAACATAAGGAATCATTTTCTTTTTAAAAAATTTTATTTATGGGCCTCCCCTGGTGGCGCAGCGGTTGAGCGCTGGGCTGCGAAGCTGCCTGCAGCCTCTGCAGGCCGGTTTGATCCCAAGCCACCGGTGAGGGTCCCACATGGTGCACAGACCTCTCCTATACCCAGTGCTTGTATAAATAAATAATTAAATATTTTAAAAAATGTATTTATGTATTTTATATCATTGTTCATTATTGTACAATGTTTGATTTCTCCTCTCAGGTGTCCCCATAAAATTACTACCACCAAGACACCCATGATCTGTCACCATGGACTCTTATGCTCTTCCCGCCCCTTTTTATCCTTTTCCCTCCACTGCTGAATGTTTCCGATTTATAGTTTGCCTGCTAGTTTTGCCTCTTTTTTTTTTTTAAAGATTTATTTATTTATACAAGCACTGGGTACAGTCAGAAGCACAGGAGGGAGAGAGAATTCACCAGAGCCAGAGCGGGGAGCAGAACAGGCAGAGGACCGATGTACACTGAGGGGAGCAGTGGGAGGCAGGAGAGGTCTGTGCGCCATGTGGGACCCTCGCCTGGTGGCCAGGAATCCAACTGGCCCTGCAGAGGCTGCAGGGCAGCTTCACAACCCAGCGCTCAACCACTGCACCACCGGGGAGGTCCACTAGTTTTGCCTCTTTTTTTTTCTGATCGCTTGTATGGTTTCCCTATGTTCTCCTAGAAGTGAAACTATCCAATAGTTTTCTTTTAATGAAACATATTCTGAGTAAAACGGATGGGGAGCGAATCTTACTCCTGGTGTAATCAGCATATAGCCTGAGTCATCTTGAATAATTATAGCCAACATTTATTGAGCATTTACAACACACAGGTACTTTTCTAAAGCTAAAAATACATATATAGATCAGTGATGCATACTGTTACTCTTAATTTTTACAACCTAATGGACAAAACATAGTATCTTATGCTGTTAATTTGTATTAGTCAGACTAAGAGCACTATTAATTATCCTTTCATGTTTATTAGCTGTCTGCATTTCTTTCTCTGTGATCAGACTATATGCTTTATGCTCACTTTCCTAATGGACTTCTGTCTCAATAGGTACTTATACTATACTGAATTTTAATACATAACATACAGAAAAATTCTTTTCTAGATTATTGTATTTTGACTTTTATTGTATTTTTTATTGTATTACGGGTTTTTGTTTTTGTTTTAGTTTTGTGCACCATTTGACATAAATAGATGAGTTAAAACTAATAAGGTACTCAGTGCCTGACACATAGTAAGTGCAATGTAGCTGTTTTAAAAATAAATACAATAAACAAAAAATAAACAGGTACATATTCCTATTCCTGAGATCCCATTACTATATTTATCTATATTTTAATCAGGTGGAAAATGGATGCATAGCACAGTTAAGAAAACATATCCAAGGTTACAAAGATGATGGTAAGATGTGAGCTCAACAAATCTGACTCTGGAGTCCACAGTTCTACCCCAAATCTGACATGCCCTCACTTGACTGAATGAAACTGTTCTTAACAACATGATCTAAAGTGGCTGGTCAGCACACAGGGGATCACAGGGGCCTGGAAAAGATTAGAATGATCACTGGCAAAAGGAAATTTCTTAGAAAGTAGGAGTGAAAATTACATTAGATTTTATTCTCTCTGGAAGCTTTGTTCTAATCATGCCTTATGCCTCACTAGGAAAGGCAGATGTGCAGTCAGTGAAGAAACAAGAACAGTGATAACCCTTTTCATTTAAAAATATTTAGGAAATTATTATATGAGTCTTCATGAGGTCCTGATGATTTGAAAACCTTGTGGTCTTAAATCCTTTCTTGAATAAGGCAGTAGGTTTTTTTGGTTTGTTTTTAATTTTATTTTTATTTTTATTTTCTTAAATCATTGCTCATTTTTATACAATATTTGATTTCTCCCTTCAGGTATAGTCTCCATGATTCTCCCAGCCCTACATCACCTATGATGAACTGTCATCATAGTTCCTTGTGCTCTTCCCTCCCTGTTTTGACCCTTCCACCAAGGCAGGGTTTTATTACTTATTCATTCACTTCATTATCCAACCAACCAATCAATTAGCCCAGTAACTTTCATAGAATCTATATAATATTCTATATAATCTATATAAATTTTACACTATATGTGCAAAAAAAAAGTTATTATTCACTCTCCCCACCACACTCCACCCAAGTAAATGAAAACTGAGGTCAGTGTCAGGCTTGTACCTGTGAAATTTGACTAGATGCTCCCCCAGATTTGTTGGTTTAAACAATTAAAAACTAATGCAAAATTGATGTAAAGTAGAATTTGTAGTTCCACAATATGAAGCCTATCTTCATATAAAACAACCAATCATCCTGATGTTACTGCATATTAAGGGTAGAGGATAATATGAAAGCGAAGATGTGCATTACTTTAAAAAAAAAAAGGTGAGCCTCCCCTGGTGACGCAGCGGTTGAGCGCTGGTCTGCAAAGCTGCCTGCAGCCTCTGCAGCGCCAATTCGATCCCCGGCCACCAGCGAGGGTCCCACATGGCGCGCAGACCTCTCCTGCCCTGCCTGCTGCTCCCCTCAGCAGTGTACTTCGGTCCTCTGCCTGTTCTGCTCCCCACTCTGGCTCTGGTGAATTCTCTCACCCTCCCGTGCTTCTGACTGTACCCAGTGCTTATATAAATAAATAAATCGTTTAAAAAAAAAAAAAAAGGTAAATTTTTTTCCATGATCTATATAGAACTGAAAAGAGATTTTAGAATAATTTTGTTAAGTGATCATTATGCCAGACTTCATTCACCATCTCTGTAGTATCATGGAACTTTGCTTTGTCTTTAAGCATCTAAAATGGTAATATCGGGCCTCCCTGGTGGCAGAGCAGTTGAGGGCTAGGCTGCGAAGCTGCCCGCAGCCTCTGCAGTGCTGGTTCTATCCCCGGCCCCCAGCGAGGGTCCCACATTGGGCCACAGACCTCTCCTGCCGTGCCTGCTGTTCCCCACTCTGGCTCTGTTGAATTCTCTCACCCTCCTGCGCTTCTGACTGTACCCAGTGCTTGTATAAATAAATAAATCTTTAAAATAAATTAAAATAAAATAAAATAAAATGGTAATATCTACTTGTATTTACATTATAGGTATATTTTCAAGTTCTAGCATATATAAAAATTTATTTTAAAAATTTTATTTATTTATGCATATAAGAACTGGGGTATAAGCAAGAGGTATGGAGGTGAGAAGATTTACCAGAGACAGAGTGGGCAGCAGAACACACCAATGTACTGAAATACACTGCTGAGGGGAGCAGCAGGTGAGCTAGGAGAGGTCTGCTGCGCCATGTAGGTCAGCTCCCTGGCCAGGGATGGAACTCATGTTGCAGTGGCTGCCGACAGCTTCATAGTGCCGTGTCTTTAACCCCTGAGCCACCAGGGAGGCCTATATCTAACAATTTTTCTTTTTTTTTTTTTTAAATATTGATTTAGGCATATCTGTACCTGGGGTACAGGTCAGAGATGCAGGGGGTAAGAAGATCCACCAGAGACAGGGTGGGGAACAGAACAGGCAGACTGACTGAAATACACTGCTGCGGGGAGCAGCGGGTGACACAAGAGAGGTTTGCCTTGCCATGTGGGTTTCTCCAGCCGGGGATAGAACTCATGCTGCAGAGGCTGCGGATTGCTTCATAGTGTGGTGCTTAACCCCTTGCGCCACCAGGGAGGCCCTAACAATTTCTTCTTAAAACAATACACTACAAGACAAATAATAGATCAATAGGACAGAGTAGAGAGAATAGAAGTAGATCCACATAAATATAGTAACTTGTCTATAACTAAAAAGGGAAAGTAATACAATATAGAAAAGACAGACTTTTCAACAAATGGTGCTGGAACAAGAAGACATTCACATGCAAAAATGAATCTAGACACAGATCTTCAACAATCACAAACATTGACTCAAAATGGATCATAGACTCAAATGTAAAATTCAAAACTAGAAAATTCCTACAAGATAACAGAGGAGAAAAATCTAGATGACCTCGGATATGGTGATGACTTTTTTAGATACAATGCCAAAGAAAAGATGTCCATGAAATTTATCAATAAGCTGAATTTCATTAAAATTCAAAACTTCTGCTTTGCAATGCAAAAGCAAAAGAAGACAAGCCACAGACTAAGAGAAAATATTTGCAAGAGACATATCTGATAAAGGACAGTTGCCCAAAACATACAAAAAAACTCTAAAAACTCAACAATAAGAAAATAAACAACTTGATTTAAAAGTGGGCAAACAATTTAAGCAGGTACAATGCAGAAGCAAAAGAAGACAAGCCACAGACTAAGAGAAAATATTTGCAAGAGACATATCTGATAAAGGACAGTTGCCCAAAACATACAAAAAAACTCTAAAAACTCAACAATAAGAAAATAAACAACTTGATTTAAAAGTGGGCAAACAATTTAAGGAGGTACCTAACCAAAGAAAATATACAGCTATATACAGTACATAAAGAGATGCTCAGGCCTCCCCAGTGGCACAGCGGTTGAGCGCTGGTCTGCAAAGCTGCCCGCAGCCTCTGCGGCGCCGGTTCAATCCCCGGCTGCTTCCCGGTCACCGGAGGAGGGTCCCATATGGCGCGCAGACCTCTCCTGCCGCCCGCTGCTCCCCTCAGCAGTGTACTTCGGTCCTTCTGCCTGCTCTGCTCCCCGCTCTGGCTCTGGTGAATTCTCTCACCCTCCCGCCCTTCTGACTGTACCCAGTGCATGTATAAACAAAAAAACAAACAAACAAATAAATAAATAAAACATGCCTCTATAAAAAAAAAAAAAAGATGCTCAATGACATTTCATGAGGGAACTGCAAATTAAAACTATGAAATACCACTACACACTTAGTATAATGACTAACATCCAAAACACTGATACCACCAAA